TTATTTATAAAAAACATTTTTTGCAGTTGTTGGACAAAATAGTATGTGCAACTTGTGGAGAACAGCGATTTTTGCTCGCTCGATTGCTGCGCGCGCTACGCTTGCGCAGCAAACTTCGAGCTCGCGAGAAATCGCCCTTGTTCTCCACTCGTTGCACAATCTACTATTTTTAATAAAGTTTTTAGAATTCCTTTTTGTTGTAGAAGCTATTAACAATGAAAGGAAATCATTATTTTAGTTATTTAATAATTTTTTTATTTTAGGGGTTTGACTAGAATTCCTAGCCAGAACCCCAGGTAGGGTGTTCATTAGATTTTAGATAGGGTACTGATCAGGGCCTCGACAGTTTTCCTTGTTTAAATAAAGGGTAAAAATTAAATCTCTAAAATTACTTTTAATAAAAAATAATGAACAATTGAAGAATACAATTAAAGGGAGTAATTATACTATCGTTTTGAAGAATTTTTTTATTTTGTGGGTTTAACCAGAATTTCTGGCCAAAACCCCAAGTGAGGTGTTCACTAACTAGATATTAAATAGGGCTCTGATCAGGGCCTCAACAGTTTTCCTCGTTTGAATAAAGTGTAAATGAATTAAGTTTTTTAAATTAGTTCCCATAATAAAATTATAAACAATATTGAAGAAATTAATTAAACGGAATAATTATACGGAGTAATTATAATTTTAAGAATTTTTTTATCTTATGGGTTTGACCAGAAATTCTGGCCAAAACCCTAAGTGGGGTGTTCACTAGATATGAAATAGGGCTCTGATCAGGGCCTCGACAGTTTTCCTCGTTTTAAAAGCATGTAAATAAATTTAATTTTTTAAAATTAACTTTTTTAAAACAGTTATTTAAGTTAAAAAAGTGTGTTCTTTTAAAACACTTTACAAAATAATTATGGTAATATATTTAAAAACGAAAATACATATAATTTTTTTTTTCTTTAAGTACAATATTATAATAAAGTTTATTTATTAATAATAATTTTAATAATTATTAATTTATAGGATGAATTTATTATTTGGTTTGTATATGGGTAGTTCTACAAACGAAGGACGAAAATGAAGAAAATTTTGGCACAATATTTTTTTTACGTTCAGGTTTTAAAAAGTAGGTTAGATTGAAGTTAAAAGTATTATCAAAGTTACCTAAAAGTGGCCGCAGTCAAAAAAATAAAAACTGTAAATTTTACATCTTAAGCACATGTGTATTCTGTCAGAAAGTGCCAGGAAACTGAGAATTTGTCTGACCAAATGGCCATTTCAGTCACAAAGTACACAATTTTAGTTAATTGAACTGCAAGTTAAGTAAAATGCAAGTAATATCATATTTAGTTAAACTTTACTAAGCACTGTGAAAAATGGTGAATTAATCGGACTGAAAATTCTTAATAATTTTAACGTTTTTTATGATGGCAGGAAACTGAGAATTAATTCGATGGACAAAGTTCAAGATAATATTTTTTAAATAAAATATCAAGTAATGTAACAATTATTTTAATCTTTGTAAAGTACAACTATTTGAAATTATTATCAAAGTGTAAATTTGTATTTAATCGCTTAAAAATAATATTTATATAATTTATTAACTTTCATTTTCACATTGGGACATGCCAGGAAACTGAGAATTTAGCACTTGAATGCTTATTTTTTGCAAAAAATATTTTTTAAAACCGGGTAACGTTTTGTGGCATAATAGTAATCATTAAGTACTACAGTTCCCATTGATTTCTTCCGCCGGCGGATCTTATTCTTCTGCGGCGTCGGAAGAATGACGGATATGTTGAGTCTGTACTGGCTCGGTACTGGGGCGGATCCGACTGCGGATCTCGTCATTTATTGTCACATTATAAATTAAATAATTATTACAAGTAATTGCATTATTTTAGAAAATAATTATTAATAAATGAATCTAATCAATATATTAAGTAATTATTTATTGAGACTTTTTTAAAAATTAAATAATTAAAAAAATTCGTTATTAATTAATATTATATATTATTAATTAACATTAATATTATTGAGAATTAATAATAAATTATTAATATTAATAATAATATTAATTAATAATATCTCAATAATAATTGAATAATTGTTTCTCAATATAATACACGGAAAGAAAAGGTCTGGAAGAGATATCCATAAAAATATTGTTGAGCAGAATATTGTTGTGTTATCCAATTCAATGGAAGAGACAACTTTCAGAATGGAAGCACATTCCATATTCAATGGATGAGGGAGCCATATTATATTGTTGAATCAAATATGGATGTGACATCCATAGGCATGGTTGGGCTTACAATTCATGCTATGGATTTTCACATATGGCTGCCTCATCCATATAAACTTTGGTTGGGAGATCCATAGTTAGTTCAAAATTTCGATACATGTTGCGCGCAATTCATTATCATGGCATCCATTTAAAAATGGACGTCTCAATTTGTCCGTCGCGTCGGTTTCCTGTCACGTCTATATAATCGCGTTGTGAGTTTATTGTGTATAAATAGTGTTACAATTGTTTATTATTTATTATCGTTATTGTCTATTTGTGTTTATGTAAATTCATTTTCATGAAATATGTGTAGAGTATATAAGGAATATTATATGCTCAAATATTGTAGTTGCGTGTATAGTGTAGTGGATAGCGTTAGTGTTTAGTATGCGTTAGGTCTAGGGTTCGTGTCTCCCCCATCGGTTAATAATTTATTTCGTAAATATGCGGTTATTCAATAAGTGGTGTGTATTAATTAACAAAAATGTGTATAAAATATCTCAAGTGACATAGAATTTAATTAATTGAGTGATTCTAATTTTTTTGTTTCCCATTTCCATTACTATGGATCACCCAACCATAGATCTTTTGCTGCTCCAACAATATACAGCCAGCCATAGAATATGGATGCAGCAACCTTAACTATGGATATCCCGTATTTTTCAATATAATATGGCTGTGATATCCATTATCTGATTGTGTCAACTATTCCTTTTTCTCCGTGTAATATTGAAGGTAATGATCCCAGGCGCGAAAGACCAATGCTGACGATGGATTGAAGATTTATTGAGCCTTGAACGCCCAGCCTGGGTAACCTAGTGTTGAAGCAGTCTTTATACCACGCTGTCACTCAATGTTGATTCAGCATTGGACACCAATGTTCGTTCCATGCTCGATTCAAGACTCGGTCAATCTTCGTGAGTGAAGCTCGAACATCTGATCTTAATTCAAGCCTGAATCAATCTTGACAGTTTATTTATTGACGTGTGCACTTAAAAATATTAAATATAAATATTTATAAATTAATTAATATTAAAATATTTTTTATGATAATTTTGTATACTATTTAAAAATTATTATTAATTATTATTATTAAGATATCAATTGGTAAATAAATATTAATATTTATTTAGTGTATATTATTTATATTAATTATTAATTTATTAATAATAATAATAATAATTATTATTATTATTATTATTATTATTCATTATATAAGATTTATATAAATAAAGTTAAATTATACATTATTATTTTTTTCTTGCACAGTGTCAAATAATTGTTTTCAAAGTTCAAGAGTTTCGTTTGTCTGAAAAATTTTTAGTGAAAAAAATGTTCATTAGGGTGTAATAAATATTTATGCCTAGTTGTTTTACACTAGGATTAACTGTTTAGTAAATATGTATTATCAAAAAACTATTTTTTGTCAAACGCGTGCGATTAAACACAAATGACCTTGAGACTTTAGCATTGCCAACACAAGAGTTTAACGTATGTGTTGAGTTGGTAATGCTGGAGTATCAAGGTTATTTGTGTTTAGTCGCGCGCGTTTGACAAAAAATAGTTTTTTGATAATATTTACTAAACAGTTAATCCTAGTGTAAAACTACTAAGCATAAATATTTATTACTACCTAATGAACATTTTTTTCACTAATAATTTTTCAGATAAACGAAACTCTCAAACTTTGAAAATAATAATTTGACACTGTACAAGAAAAAAAATAATATATATAATTTAACTTATAAAATTATCATAAAAAATATTTTAATAATAAATAATTTATAAATATTGATATTTAATATTGTTCAGTGCACATGGTAAAGTGAATATTGTATCAAGATTGACCGAGTCTTTAATCGAGCATGGGACGAACATTGGTGTCCCATGCTGAACCAATATTGAGTGACGGCGCTGGCATTGAAATAGTAGATTAGGCGAGGTGCCTTCCAGCCTTCTGTGGCCGAGCGGTTAAATGCGTGCGTTGAATACTTCCGGTATGCGTTAGGGGGGTGGGAGTCGTGAGTTCGATCCCACATGCGAGCGAATATTTTTCATTCTTTGTTTTAAGCGTTATATAAAATAATAAAATTGTGTGTTGTGTTGTGAATAAAAACTTGTGAACATGTTTGTAAATAATATTAAAAAATCGTGAAAAAAATGTATCGATTAACAGAAAAATTGTCTTTTTTTACTAAAATTATTTTTTTAATATTACTATTTCAAATGACATTTATTGTTAGTAATATATTATTTATATGAAAATAATATAATTATTATAATAGTAACTTATTTCCAAACAAACGCATATAACATGAATAAAAATAATATCAATAATATTCATTACTATAATAATAATAATAATAATAATAATAATAATAATAATAATAATAATAATAATAATAATAATTTGTGTGTGTGTTTATTTACTCTCCCTACTACTGTAGGGTTCGAGACTCCAAAAAAAAAAAAAAATACATTGTTCCTTAACCTAAAATACAAACAATTCCTTATTACTAACGCACTTATATCTACGCAACTTATTTACTAATCGCCATTACTTATTAGTCTAATCTCTACCAATGTGCCCGGGCTTCCGTTTCCCGTTCCTTTTGCCTTGCCTTTTGGCTTCATCCGAAAAAAAAAATTTTTTCATTATTATTAAAATGAAAAGAACCATTATTCCGTTCTACAAACAACAAAAATAAAAAATTCCCTCCCCATTTTACATTACCCCAATCATTCTTTCCTTTCTTGCTTCTTCCAATCCAAACATCCATCTTTCACCTTGTCCACTTTCGTTCAAAATCCAACTCACTCTTTCACCCACACTTTTTTCATCCATTCCTCCTCCCACACATCTTTCCAACACATGCGCCCAATCTTCTCTTTCAAACTCACATATTCTGCACTTCTTTTCCCCCTCATCCATCCAATATTTACATTCATTCACACCTTCCCCCATTCTAAATTTACACACTCTGCTCCACCTCTCTTCCTTCCTAATCTTTTCTAAATACTTCGGCATTTCCTCCCCCCTTACCATCCTATACCATTTGTTATAACGCGACCCCTCTATTCGTTCCCACCTTTCCTCAGAATCCTTTCTTTTCCATCCCTTTATAAACTCCTGCCCTCCACCCCATTTTATTCCTTCTTCCAATGCTACCCTTCTGTCCCTTTCCCACTTCGATCCCCCTTTTCTTTTGACTTCCTCCTCATCTTTTATAACTTTGTAGCATTTTCTCGCCAAACAACTCCCTCTTCCTTGTTTTAATTTTTCCTCCATTCCCATTACCCTTTTCCTTTGCCTACACACCAATTTCTCCCTTCCCAATTCCTCCCTCAACATATATCCCGGGCAATTCCAGCTTACCCCCATCGTCCATCTTAGAAACCTTTCATGCATTCTTTCCATTTTTCCGATTTCATTCCACCCCCATATCTCCACCCCATAACTCATTACCGACCATACCAACACATCAAACAACCATATTCTCCTCTTCCAGTCATCCTTAAATTTTCTTTTCCCAATTCCCCACACTTGACCCATTACCCTTCCTGCTCTTTCTACTCTCATTCTTACATTCATATCCGCTCTTCCATTATAACTAAACCAATATCCCAAATAACAAAATTCATCCACCTCTTCCACTATCTTTCCATTCATCTTCCATACCTCATACTCCTTTCTTTTTCTCTTTCTAAATCTTAATACTTTTGTTTTATCAACATTCACGCTTAAATCTTTTTCCCTTACATACTTTTCAAACTCGTTCAATAATAATTTCATTCCATTCACTTCCTCCGCCATCAAAACAACATCATCCGCATACGCTAACGAAAAGATCCTCTTACTCCCTAAAATAACACCGCCTTTACCCCTTTTATACATTTTCTCCTCCAAATCAGACATCAATACATTAAATAGTAATGGACTCAGAGGGCAGCCTTGCCTTAACCCTCTTCCCAGCCAAAATACTTTTCCCAGTTTCTTCCCAATTTTTACCCTTTCTCTCGTATCTTCATAAAATTCCTTTATCCTTTCCACTAACCCTTGCTCCACCCCTCTTTCCTTCAACACTTCCCATAAAAGACCCCTATTCACCGATGGAAACACTGCCTTTATATCAACAAAGGTTGCCATTAATTTCCCCCCCTTTCTTCCCAAATTCCTACTCACTAAATAATTTAAAACATAAATATTGTCTAAAGTCCCCATGCCCTTTCTAAATCCCGTCTGATTATCCGGTATACACCCTAACGCTTCCACCTTATCCTCCAACCTTTTCCTCACTACCTCCGCATATACCTTATAACCAGCCGGCATAAGCGTCACACCCCTATATTCCCCTACCTTATTTCCCTCTCCCTTTTTTATAATTGGTACAATTAACCCCGTCTTCCAATCTTCTGGCCATCCCTTCCCTCCCCATATCATATTTATTATTCTCCACATTTCACTCTCGACCACTTCCCCACCAAACTTTATACTTTCCGCTTCCATTTCATCTCCCCCTTGCGAAATCGTTTTACCAAATGTCTCCCCACGTGGGTATACATTTGGGATACATTTGGGAGACATTTGGTAAATTGCTTTATAATTCTGTTAAAAGACAGAATTTGATGAAAAAAACGATTGGAAATTGAAAAGGAACATTTGGAGAATGAAATTATGCAAATATTTTTATAAAGAAAGCTTTGAATAATTAATAATTAACTGAAATGTGCAAAAATGTCATTGTGATTTTATAGCAAGGTTATTTTTCATAATTACTTATGAAAACGGTGTAAATAAAGGAAAAAATAATTATATATTATAATTAATTAAACAATAAAACTTGTAATTTAATTAAATGCAAATGGTAAAGTGATATTAAAGTAATATCTACTTTACCAACAACTTATTCTATTTCAGCATTAGAAAGACACTAGAAACAATCAAAAGTCCCTAACGGCAGATATCCCCGCGCGGCGTTTGGTTTGACGCAATATTCTACAGGGTGTTCTTTTTTTAATGATGGCAGAGAAATGCTACTTTTATATTAAAGTAACTTACGGTTATTATTTCTAATTGTAAAATAATTACCGTTTAAATTTTTTAATTATAGTCACCATCAATATTTTCTAAAAATTAAATATTCTCACCTTTTTTCCAGGGCATGTTCCGAATAGAAAAATTGCATTTTAGGAAAAAGGAGGAATTTAAATATGTATTATTTTTATTGGCCAAAAGTCTCTATCCTTTTTCTCTTTAAAAGTTAAAATAAACATTATATTTTTTAAAAATGATAAATATTCTTAGAATTTTTCTCAATGGAGCAACGAATAAAAACATTGCGCTTTTTGTAAATAGGAGGAGGAAATATTTAATTTTTAAAAAATAAAACATAATCCCAACCCCTCAAAAAAAATTGATGCTTTTAGACGAATAAAAATAAGAAACAAACTCCTCCTATTTTCAAAATCAATTTTTCTATTTGTTGGTTAAGTTAAACAAAATGGAGAAAATACTTAATATATGAAAAATAAAACATTATAACCTCAACCCCCAAAGAAAAAATGGTTGCTTTACACCAATGAAAATAATAAACAAACTCCTCCTATTTTCAAAATCAATTTATCTATTTGTTGGTTAAGTTAAACAAAATGGAGAAAATACTTAATATTATATGAAAAATAAAACATATAACCTCAACCCCCAAAGAAAAAATGGTTGCTTCACACCAATCAAAATAATAAACAAACTCCTCCTATTTTCAAAATCAATTTTTCTATTTGTTGGTTAAGTTATACAAAATGAAGAAAAGAATAATATTTTTAAAATAAAACATATAATCCCAACCCCCTAAGAAAAAATGGATGTTTTAGACCAATCAAAATAATAATCAAACTCCTCCTACATAAAGAAAGAAAATTTTCTATTTGTCGCTTTAGTTAAACAAAATATGAAGCGAATATATTAAATTTAAGCTCAACCCTTTACAAAAAATATACTTCTAGCTAATAAAAATAAGATTCAAACTCCTCCTTCTTAAAGAAAACAAATTTTTTATTGATTGGTTCAACAATACAAAAAGGGAGTAAATATTTAATTTTTAAAAAGTTACATTTAGTCTTAACCCATTAAAAAAAAAAAACTTCTGGCCAATAAAAATAAACTCCTCTTATTTTCAAAATGCAATGTTTTATTTATTGGTTGAGTTAAACAAAATGGAGAATCTAATTAATATTTAAAAAATAAAACATATAAACCCCCTATTTTTTGTAAAGGGTTGAGCTTAAATTTAATATATTCGCTTCATATTTTGTTTAACTAAAGCGACAAATAGAAAATTTTCTTTCTTTATGTAGGAGGAGTTTGATTATTATTTTGATTGGTCTAAAACATCCATTTTTTCTTAGGGGGTTGGGATTATATGTTTTATTTTAAAAATATTATTCTTTTCTTCATTTTGTATAACTTAATCAAAAAATAGAAAAATTGATTTTGAAAATAGGAGGAGTTTGTTTATTATTTTGATTGGTGTGAAGCAACCATTTTTTCTTTGGGGGTTGAGGTTATAATGTTTTATTTTTCATATATTAAGTATTTTCTCCATTTTGTTTAACTTAACCAACAAATAGAAAAATTGATTTTGAAAATAGGAGGAGTTTGTTTCTTATTTTTATTCGTCTAAAAGCATCAATTTTTTTTGAGGGGTTGGGATTATGTTTTATTTTTTAAAAATTAAATATTTCCTCCTCCTATTTACAAAAAGCGCAATGTTTTTATTCGTTGCTCCATTGAGAAAAATTCTAAGAATATTTATCATTTTTAAAAAATATAATGTTTATTTTAACTTTTAAAGAGAAAAAGGATAGAGACTTTTGGCCAATAAAAATAATACATATTTAAATTCCTCCTTTTTCCTAAATGCAATTTTTCTATTCGGAACATGCCCTGGAAAAAAGGTGAGAATATTTAATTTTTAGAAAATATTGATGGTGACTATAATTAAAAAATTTAAACGGTAATTATTTTACAATTAGAAATAATAACCGTAAGTTACTTTAATATAAAAGTAGCATTTCTCTGTCATCATTAAAAAAAGAACACCCTGTAGAATATTGCGTCAAACCAAACGCCGCGCGGGGATATCTGCCGTTAGGGACTTTTGATTGTTTCTAGTGTCTTTCTAATGCTGAAATAGAATAAGTTGTTGGTAAAGTAGATATTACTTTAATATCACTTTACCATTTGCATTTAATTAAATTACAAGTTTTATTGTTTAATTAGTCTTATTAATAGATGTAATTAATATTTTTACGTTCTTTTAACAATATACACTATTTTTTCCTTTATTTACACCGTTTTCATAAGTAATTATGAAAAATAACCTTGCTATAAAATCACAATGACATTTTTGCACATTTCAGTTAATTATTAATTATTCAAAGCTTTCTTTATAAAAATATTTGCATAATTTCATTCTCCAAATGTTCCTTTTCAATTTCCAATCGTTTTTTTCATCAAATTCTGTCTTTTAACAGAATTATAAAGCAATTTACCAAATGTCTCCCAAATGTATCCCAAATGTATACCCACGTGGGGAGACATTTGGTAAAACGATTTCGCAAGGGCCCCCCACCGCTTTACCCTTCTTTAACCTATCTATTGCTTCCCTCACCTCTTTCCTACTAATCTCTGGCTGTGACATCTCCTCCCCTCTTCTTCTTCCCTCCCCCCTAACTGTCTTCTCCATTCCCCCACTTAATCCCTTGAAATATTCCGTCCATTCTTCTATTTTAATTTCAGTATTTATACCCTTCCCCCTCTTCCTCCCCTTATTTATAACCTCCCACTCTTTACCCTCTTTTATCGCTTGTTGCACTTCCTCTATATACCTTTCTTTTTCCTTCTCACGCTTTGCCCTTATCAACTTGCCATGCTCCCTATGCTTCTTATTGTATTCCTTTTTTTCGATTAATCCTCTTCTCCACTGCTTTATAGCTTCCCTAAGCCCTTCCCTACTCTTTTTACATTCCTCATCCCACCACCCTCTGTAGACATTTTCCTTTTCCCTTTCTTTCTCTCTAATTTCATTCACAACCCCATTAATTACCCTTTTTAATCTCTCTACTCTAAAATTTACTTCTCCTTCTTCTTCAAAATCCTTCTCTTTTTCCTGCATCCTATCTTCAAATTTCCTTAAACTTTCCACTTTCCATTTCCCCATCTTCTTTTTTCTTTCCATACTTTCTCCGCTATGACCCACCCCGAGATTTCCCTTTCCCATCCCCCATAATTCTACTATTAACGGAAAATGTCCCGAGTTCTTTATCCTCTTCCCACTTCCATTCTTTTTATTTCCTCCTTTGACTTTTCGTTCGTGATGACATAATCTATTACCGTTTCCCCCCTCCCTATAAATGTGTATTCTCCTTTCTCGTCCCCTTTAACATTCCCATTACAAATAAACCACCCTCTTTCCCCTATTATACTTAACATTTTTCTCCCCTCTTTATCCACTTCTTTATGTTTCGATTCCCTCACATGATGTTGCTTCTCTTCATCCCACTCTTCCCCTCCCAATTCCCCCGTCCATGCATTAAAATCCCCCCCTATTATAACCTTTTCATCTTTCCCCTTATCCATCCATTCCTCCAACTCCTCCCACCCTTTTCCATCCCCCCTCCTTCTATATGTTCCCACAATATTCAACCCATCCCTCCCTACTCTTATTTTCCTGACCATAACCCCTTCTTTATTCCCTTCATTCCCAACTCCTTCTTCCTTAATATTCAATCTTACCCCCGAAATCATACCTCCCGCACTTCTCCCTCTAGCATCTTCCCTTTTCGCATCTTGCTGCACCCACTTAAACCCCTTAGGCAATTTCCTCTTTACTATTTCCCATTCCCTCCCTTCCACCCATGTCTCACTTAACATTAATACATCCCACCTCTTCAAACTTGACCAGAAACCCTCTTCCTTATTTCTCCACCCAGAGATGTTCCAGAAAACTACCTTAATCTCCTCCTTTTCTACTCTACTACTTTCACCCCTTCTATTTAACCTCTATCTTGGCTCTGCCCACTCGAACGCCCCCCCATTGCTTCGTCCAATCTCTCTTGTTCCTCCATTTCCTCCTCTCCCTCACTACGCTTTTCTTCCTGTTCTTGCCACCCTTGTTCGCTCACCACCATCCCTGTCGCTCTATCCACTACCCATCTCCTTCCATTTACCCATATACAGTCCCTTCCCATTCTTTTTCCAAAAGCCATCCCCTTCTTCTTTCTTCCCATGTCTTGTCCTCTTCTATTCTCTCTTTTCTACCCCTCAATTTACTTTTATTTCTCAAGACCTCCTTTCTCTGCTCCTCACTTCCCAATTCTATCACCCATACCCTTGGCAAACCATTCTCCCCTTTACTAACCCCTTTGAATTCTTTCACTTCCACTACCACCCCAATATCTCTAAATAATGTATTTTTAGGATAATTTTGTAAAAAGTTTTAATTTTTA